CTGAGCTTGTTCTGCTCGAAACCATGTCCTGTTGTTCAGTCAGGAGTGCGGCGCATATCGCGGCTTCTGAGATGATTCCTCGCTGTCGGAGTAGCGCTTTGCAGGGCTTCCACTCTGGCCCGAGTCCTTGAAGGACTATGTTGACGAAGATCTCTTCCGAGATTGCGCTCCCATGCTTCGTGATCTGGTCACGTATGTTGCGACAGCGGTTAATGTAAGAATTTGCTTTCTCCCCGTGCCCCATCTTTGTCTCCATGAGTTGCTGCAGGAGCCTGCTGGTGGTAACCAAGTCCTTCGGTTGATAAACCTCAACGAGGTGCTTCCAGGCTTCCAAGGCTGGAGCGGCGCTCTCTTTGTAGGAGCGGATGCTTAGTTGCTCTGCAGGCGTCATGTTGCGTAGCAGCACACTATACGCCATGAGGGACTCGCTGTAGTACTGAGCCCTGGCATCATCGGTGTCGTCCACCGGTTTAGAATAGGAGCCGTCAAAGTAATGGTAGATCTGCGCTGTCTGTAGGAGGAGCTCAAGCTCAAAACTCCATGTGTAGAAATCTTTGCCGTCAAATGCGGCAGTGGTCTTAATTTTTGAAACGCTGGGGAAGCGTGCTTGCGCAGAGTTAATGACTTCATCACTTGGACGGGGGGCAGTTGTTGTTGATTTGTCTGTGTCGAGGGAGAAGGTGTGCGCGGCGGTATCACGGCTTTTCGCAGCCGGTTGTCCACGTTGAGCTGGTTGGGAAGAGGTTCCCGCATCGCCTTTGCGCAAATCTTGGAGTTCTTCTCCATAGTTGAAAGTCGAGCGAATAACTGCTCGAGTGCGGCAGTGCCGATCGTAGTTGTCGCCTCATTTGTCGCAGCCGGGTTGGTTTGTCCTTCAGCCGTCAGATTTGCTTGGCTTCCGGATCCTCCGGCCATCTTGGACTTGGAGCGTGTGCCGCTCGCCAGATCTTGGTTCGGCGAATTTCACGGAAGTGAAGATGCGAAGAATCCCTGAGTAGCTCTCATACCATGTTACAATCCCAAGTGGGACTTAGTGAAGGATCGCTCAGGGTTGATCGCAGAGTAGTGTTGCAGCGGAAGTTTGAATCTTAGGTCAGAGTGAATGTAAATGACTGAGTTGATAAAAGCATGCATACATCGGGTTTATATAAGAATACAGGGGAATACGAAAAGACCTAGACTAGCCATGTACTCTAAGGGGTACATTCCCTTATTGCAGCCAAATTCAAACCGTGCGGCGCGGGAACCCGTTTCAAATCTGTTCCCGCTCTTTTCACTTCAAATGTTTCTGCCTGCATCGGTCTTTATCAGACGGTTGCTGCGTCGCTTCGGCTCTTCCGACTCCTCGACTTTGTACTCGGTAGAGTCGGCTCCTGCAGCATACAGGAATGCCTACTCATGCAATTTCATATCGTAACATTCCTTATACCGGTAAATGGTAGCTTCATGCATACATCACAATCCTTAGATGCCCAGTGTATTGGATTTGGATACACTTGTTTCTGTTACAGATATGTTAACTCGCCAACCACCCAGTAGCACGATATCACGGTCAAGCGTTCCCCCCACCCATTTCCTGCTGTCAAGGGTGCGATGACCAATGCCACCGCCTCAGAAACCTACTATAACGGACTGCAATAGAGTACAACGTTAATATACCGTGCAAAACCTCTCTTGAAGTCAGGGCTTTTCGAATTATTTTCCACATTATGCTGCTCCCTCCATCCTAGTCCACCGCATAGTAGTCGCCCAATAGCCGAGTAGCATTGGATAGTACCCGCAAGAAGCGGCATCGTCCAATCATCATTAACCGTTAATAAATCCGCCGTGGGGTCGTTCCCTCCCATTCTCGTCCCTCCTCGGTTAGCATCGTCGCCGCGCCAGCCGCATTCCCACTACATAAATCGCCTCTACCCAGCGTTCACCATGTCTCGCCATTCCACACGAGCTTCCCTCCTTGCTTTTCCCTCACGTATCGCTTCACTTTCCGACAGCGCAGCCTCACCTTCCTCTCGCCAAGCACCCCGTCTCTCGTCGCCATGGCGCACGGCGGCCCGCGTTTCGCCCCTCAAGCTGGCCTCGCCGCGGTCCTCGCTGGCCTCGTGTCTCTCGCGCTTGTCGCGGAAACTAGCGCCTCGACGCAGTACGACACGATTATAAAATTCCAGGGGAAGGCATTGTCTGACTGTCCGCTCGCTTTTTTTTCTACAATAGTCCGTGCACAAATGTCGCGTGGCGGTACGACACCTTGACCCCAATCAGCGCGAGCATCCAGTGGGGCAACGTGGCGAACGTCAACCAGCCAAATCTCAAGTGCAGCAGCATCGCCTTCCACCCCGTCACGGACTGCAAGGGGGATTCTTACGTGACGTACCAGCGTCCTCTGCCCATCACCTCCAACTCCTTCACCAACTGGTGAGCGCGCATGTGCCATGTGCCGCACAACGGTGAAACTTTTCTTTGCGGGCGTTTGCAAAGTTGAATCGGATGTGTGGACCTCTCCTAGTACTTACACGTGTCTCACGTCTGATCCCTTCTCTGCCTCCCGTGCCCCCCTCGCTGCTGCTGCTCGCAGGACCCTCGCGACAGGCAAGGACTTGCCAGCGTCGATGAAATGCTGGACGGGTAAGAATGCACCACTGGCCCCGCACTCACTTGCACGCCTGGACTTGCACAACTGGCCCCGCACTCACTTGCACAACTAGCCCCGCACTCACTTGCACAACTGGCCCCGCACTCACTTGCACAACTGGCCCCGCACTCACTTGCACAACTGGCCCCGCACTCACTTGCACAACTGGCCCCGCACTCACTTGCACAACTGGCCCCGCACTCACTTGCACGGTGTGACACGCACGCTTGCCCATCAAGGTAAGGGGGCAGTTCATATGTCCCGCTGACCGCACTGGACTGCACCGTGCTTCACAGCTGTACATCCCAGAGCTTGCCGCATGGTGCAGTGTGGTGTGGTGTGGTGTGTGGTGGTGTGAGACATCAATTCGTTGCTGTGCTCTTGCGAAAGTCTATTGGCTGCTTAATTGCACGCACACTTTTGCATCCCTGATTCAAATGACTGATGGATTGCTTACAGTGAGGCCATGCTTGCCATGAGCGAACCATGTTGTATCATTATTTTCTTCTCCCTTCTCCCACGTTGTCCCGCCTCCCTGCCACGACAAACGCCCCATGCGTGTCCCAAAGGCTGAGAGCGCTGTGGGACAGCTATGTGCGCCTTGGTGGACGGCAAGAAGGAGTGTGTGTGCCCCACCTCTCAAGTCTTTGAGGCCATTGGAATGCAGTGCCGTGGTGAGTGGCGCTTCATCAGTGAGTGCACCGTGGGAGTAAAACCCAAACATGGTTGCCCAAGACTCGAGCCTCCTAGAGTGTGGATGCCGTGTTCCCTCGCCTCGCCTAATCACATCGTTTCAAGTGTGTGGTGGGCTCAAGTCTTGGATGGGGGTGGTATTTGTTCCTCCTTAACCACCACTCGCCTCTTGGTTCCCTTTGGTGTTCCCTGAGGGTGCCTCCGTTTCAGTGAGCGATGCCTTTCATACATTCTGATCCGTCCAGCCAAGCTTGTTTCCGTAGCGCCTTGCTCCTCCCTGCCCTGTTGGCTGCAGCTACCCCACCCTCCTGTGTGATCCTGGTGTGTCCGACTCTCGTGAACCACAATCCTCGTCCTTCGCACATTATTCCTTCCCTGCTCCTTCCCACCCTGTGCCGAGCCTCTTGCTTTGATCCCTCGTCTTTGTCACCCTGTTCCTTCTCACCCTGCAGAAATCCATGGGTCACACCATAATTCACATGCTATGCCTCTTGTGCGTTTCCATCCTATACACCCCCTCCTCTTTCCCTTCTAATGCAGCGGTCTGAGGAGCTCCAACCAGGGGACCGACGGGTCAGGCGGGGGTAGCAGTAGGTACTTGCATTCTCGAGCCCACCATGCTCATTGCTCAGCATCAAGCATTCCGTCAGCTGCTGCGCTTTCAGAGAACCAATGAGGGCACCACCACCTAGCTTCACACACCCTTCCATGGAAGGCTTTGTAACATGGTTGTTGTAAACCTACCGTATCAGTTGTCTTCAATGAGATGTACGTTCTTATGATGTTTTTTGCTCTTAATTGAGCCCAAATGCACCGGCTGTGTGCTACCATTCTGCAATATGGAGTAGTACCGTACGTAGCAGGCAATTACTGATACCGTCATCACCCGGATATAAGACAGTGTTGAATAGTAGACAGGGGTTGTCTATTATACGGGTGTCTCTTATAAACAGGCTAGCCTCATTATAAGACACCTATTTGTGTGTACGAGATAAGACATATGTGTCTTATAATCGAAACTGCAATATATTTTAGTGAAAATTGAAGTACCGCGTACATTTTTACCCTTGCGCCACGCGAATTCTGCCACGTGCTGGCTCACGTACTGCCAAATTTGCCTCTGCAAGTATTCCTCATGACGTGGCGCCCCGATCAATGGTTGCCGAAGTGGCACCTTCGCAACATCCACGCTCATAATGAGAAACTATTTTCAAGATGTGTGAAAATATTTTGAAGTAGTTAAAAAAGGTTTCCATTTATAAGACTTATAAGACATCCAAAACCTCCCCAAATACAAGATAACCCAAGCATTTTTTTTAGTGTATGAGATAAGACATATATGTCTTATATCCGGGCGATGACGGTATGGTACCGGCAGTTGACTTGACCGAGCTAATGAGAAGGTTCCAGTTAATCTTGAGAGAGACCCCACTTGATCGTCGCATCTGTCGAAATCTGTCGCATCTGTCGCATCTGTCGCATCTGTCGCATCTGTCGCATCTGTCGCATCTGTCGCATCTGTCGCATCTGTCGAAATATATACACACAATTATAATTGCTGCCTTCATTGTGCTAGTGTAGTCATCCAACTGTGAAGGTTGCACTATGTCCACCTGGAGGGTGATTGGACGAAGCGGGGGCAGTAGGACGGAGCGGTAAGACAGCCCAGGAGGGTTTAGAGGGAATGCCAGTGGGGTGTGCAAGAGAGAAGTGGTGCGTGCCTGATGGGAGGAAGAGGGGAAGGCATGTGGAGATGCATACCGTAAGTAGATGTGTTTTGAAACGCAGTGGAGTTGGGGGAAGGGTTGAATGTCAACCCCTCTGTTCCCATATCCTCCCCTCCCCTCTCCTCCCTCCCCCTCCCACATTCTACTGGGAAGCAGCCCAGGAGGAGCCAGGGAGAAATGTGAGTGAGAGAGTAGTGGTGAGTGGTGGGAGGGGGAGCGGAGAAAGGAGCGATGTTGTAAAGTGTCAGTCCCCGTTAATCCCACGTTGCCACCTTGGAAAAAAAAACATGCTAGGGCATTTGCAGGGAATGCAGCACGCACAGAGTATCGGGTACCTTGCATTTAGCCGGACGTCGTTCGGCCTTTCGCAAATCAGCCGCTGGCCTCTCACGACCAGGAAAACCTGAAACACAGCTGAATCACATGAGAGTCACTTGGGAGCGACAGAGAGTGACCTGAGAGCACGTCCAGAGGGCACACAGCAGCCTCGCCCAGCTCCAAATCAGATGCTCGTGACCAACAATGACAACAAAAGCAGCCCACTACCACCACCCACCACCCCTTCACTTCACCCAGCAGTGACCCAGCAGTGCAGCCTACCTCCTTCTCCCGCCGCTCGCCCTTTAGAAAGAACTCAGCCATGGGGCACCCAACAGCTTCGGCCAGCTTGGCCTGCAGACTCTCCTGCGTGTCCGCCACGTCAGCAGCCCATCGGCTGCCCGGAAAAAGTGCGCCAGCGCCGTAGAGCCAGGTGTTCATAGGGCAGATGCTGATGTGGGAGAAGCAGATATGGAGGTGGGGGCTGAGGAGGAGTGGGCAAGGTATTGTGAGGGGAGAGGGTAAATAGTACCGTGGCTTAATAGAAGGGTGTGGGGTGAGGGACACTGTGCCGTTGGGAGGCAAGTTGGTGGGTCAGAAGTCGGTGTCAGAAGCAAGTGCCGAGCTGAGGGGGAAGGAGTGTGGGGGAAAGAAACACAATGCTTTATACGGGTGAACGAATGCGGGAGACAGTAGCATAAGGGGAATCCGTGCAACATATTGGTGTAGGAGAAGCAGGTGCGGAGATGGGTGGAGGAGGGGTTGGAATACATGTTGGGGGGGACAGGGGAGGGGAGCAGGGAGGGCAGGGCTAGTGAGAGACTGAGAGCATGGGGCGCCATAGGGGCGTAAGTCTGTGGGCCAGAAGCTGGCGTTGGAGAAGCAGGTGCGGTGCGGACCTGGATTGTGGGCAAGGGGAGAGGGTAATCAGAGTAAACAACACAATGGCTTATGAGAGGGATGTGGGAGCTATAGGGGAGTGAGTCCGTCCGTGGGCCAGAAGTTGGCGTTGGAGAAGCAGGAGAGGAGGAGAGCAATAGCAGTGTGTTGACGAGAAGGATGCGGAGAGGACGGGAGTGCACTGCACTGCTGCGACGATCCCGTGGGGCTGACTGACGACTCCCGACAGACCAACGAGCCCACGGTTCAGGGCCCAGTGTTATTGCTATGTGTGAGTTACATATTTCATTGTATTCTTGCCTTTCACTTTCAAACCGCCCCACCTCCCCGCCCACCTCCGCACCCTCTTCCCCCCCCTTCCCCCCCCTTTTTTGCCCTGCCTGGTCCTTTTTGTTTTCACCTGTCCGGCCAGAGCATCTGCTGGTTCAGAGCCTCTTCCCCCTTTTTTTTTGCCCTGCCCGGGCATTTTTTTACCTGTCCGGCCTAGCATGTGCTGGAAGCTCTGCCTGAACGTCCAACATGCGGACGTCACCGTCCTGGACGCAAGTCATGTCTGCGGTGACTCGGATTGGGAGGAAAGGATGGCGACGAGGAGGGGGATGGGAAGGGGACAGTGGCAGGGACAGGAGAGGTGTATGGGACAGAGGAGGGGGAAAGGGATTCAAAGGGGAAGGAGATGGGGAAAGGAATAGGGGGGATATAGTGGAGAGTGTTGGATGCAGTGGGCACACGTGGCGGGTGATTGGAAGAAGGAAACGGCGGTGGGAGTGGACAGTGAGGTGCGAAGGGAGGTGGTGAGGGATGGGAGGGGGGGGGGGGAGGGAGAAGGACCGATGGCTTCAGAATGACGGTCCTTGTTGGTCCTGATTTGCCACCTTTGATAATTAGCACTGCTTCAGGGCATTCAGCAGCAGGGCAGTCAGCCTCTTGCGGATCAACACCAGAGACTGACCTGAGCTGAGAGAAACCGGGGAGAAGACTGAGATTGGCCATGATTGGTCATTCTCCATAGCACGCATGCACCTTACCCAGCAGAGTATGGTAGCGGTGGGCAGCAATGAGGCATCACAATCCACCCACCTCCTAGAGTATGGTAGCAGTGGGCAGCAATGAGGCATCACAATCCACCCACCTCCTAGAGTATGGTAGCGGTGGGCAGCAATGAGGCATCACAATCCACCCACCTCCTAGAGTATGGTAGCGGTGGGCAGCAATGAGGCATCACAATCCACCCACCTCCTAGAGTATGGTAGCGGTGGGCAGCAATGAGGCATCACAATCCACCCACCTCCTAGAGTATGGTAGCAGTGGGCAGCAATGAGGCATCACAATCCACCCACCTCCTAGAGTATGGTAGCGGTGGGCAGCAATGAGGCATCACAATCCACCCACCTCCTAGAGTATGGTAGCGGTGGGCAGCAATGAGGCATCACAATCCACCCACCTCCTAGAGTATGGTAGCGGTGGGCAGCAATGAGGCATCACAATCCACCCACCTCCTAGAGTATGGTAGCGGTGGGCAGCAATGAGGCATCACAATCCACCCACCTCCTAGAGTATGGTAGCGGTGGGCAGCAATGAGGCATCACAATCCACCCACCTCCTAGAGTATGGTAGCGGTGGGCAGCAATGAGGCATCACAATCCACCCACCTCCTAGAGTATGGTAGTGGTGGGCAGCAATGAGGCATCACAATCCACCCACCTCCTAGAGTATGGTAGCGGTGGGCAGCAATGAGGCATCACAATCCACCCACCTCCTAGAGTATGGTAGCGGTGGGCAGCAATGAGGCATCACAATCCACCCACCTCCTAGAGTATGGTAGCGGTGGGCAGCAATGAGGCATCACAATCCACCCACCTCCTAGAGTATGGTAGCGGTGGGCAGCAATGAGGCATCACAATCCACCCACCTCCTAGAGTATGGTAGCGGTGGGCAGCAATGAGGCATCACAATCCACCCACCTCCTAGAGTATGGTAGTGGTGGGCAGCAATGAGGCATCACAATCCACCCACCTCCTAGAGTATGGTAGCGGTGGGCAGCAATGAGGCATCACAATCCACCCACCTCCTAGAGTATGGTAGCGGTGGGCAGCAATGAGGCATCACAATCCACCCACCTCCTAGAGTATGGTAGCGGTGGGCAGCAATGAGGCATCACAATCCACCCACCTCCTTCCTCGCCCCATGTGATGTGACAAAGCAAGACGGGCGAGACGGGTCACATGGGCACGGAAACGGGAAGGAAAGCGACAGGTCAAACATGTAAGGGCGAGTACGGAATCCATACAAAATTTGAGACTCTTAACCTAGCTGCAGCCGTGTTCTCTCTAACAAAACATTTGTCTTGAAACAGGGTTACAAGATCAGTGGGGACATGAGAAAGCTAAAAGATTGCTGTTCTGGAGACAGCTGAGGAGGCTGCGCCCCATGCAAGGCAAGGCAAGGCATAACAGCGACACTGCCAGCATGCAATGCCATGCCACCCTGGTCCTGCAATTCCACGCGCTCCCTCACAGCTCGCCTCCTTGAATCGTCCCGTGCCCCCTCTCCTTACCCTGCCAGCCTCTGCTCTGCTGCCTTGGCAGCATTCACATCCCTCATGCTAGCAAAAAACGTAACTCGCTTACACACCTGCACTAGTGATACCTTCTTCTCTCACGCCGTTCCACCTGCTGCTCTAACCACCACCCTGTTCTCACCTGCTGCTCTCACCACCACCCTGTTCTCAACTGCTGCTCGCACCTGCTGCTGAGAAGCGACAGGAAAGGGAGGTGGAGGGTAGGAGAGGAGGGGCGGGCGCGGGAGAGTGGCGATGGCTTGCAGTGGGGCGTTACATGTTGAGAGGGTAGTATTTATGCTTTCCTGAGCTTGCCGCATTTCTCCCCCTTACCACATAGCTCTCCGTATTAGCTCGCGCTTCCTTCTGCCGTGGAAAAAAATACGTCCCCCATCTCCGCCTCACAAAGGTGGGTTGACATGCTGACGCCTCGCAATGCCCCAGCCCCGGCTGCTTATGGCCTGGCCCCAATTCTCGATTTGCTCCCGACGGCTCCTTTGTTCCTCTCCATTCACCTGCCTCCTCGCCTTGCATGTGCCCTGCTGGACTCCAGTGCTACCCCATCTTCTGTGGCACGTTGCCTCACTGCACGTTTTCTCGCCTCCTGCCAACTCCGATCGCCCCACTACTGTCCCTGCGGCAGCCCAAGTCAGCATCCACCTACAGCCAGCACTTGGACGGTTGCAATTGCTGATGCTGCCTCGACATTCCTTTGAAGCCCGCATGCCAATCATCTGCCACTAAGCCCGACATGGAAAGACGAAAGCGTAACGTGGAGGAGGGAGGAAGAGGGGAGGGAAAGGGGAGAAGGAGAGGATGTGATGGCATGTGAGGGGAGGTGAGGCATGATGGTGAAGGGGTGGTACGCTGCTCGTGGACGACTCACCATCGCCATCGCCATCGCCATCGCCATCGCCATCGCCATCGCCAAGACGTTGTCGAACAGCCGTCCCTACAGCCTCGATGCCCATTCCACCTCCCGTCTGCTCCTCTCATCCCGTCTGTCTACCGCCCAGCATCGCTTCGCTGGCCTTTCGTCGGCTCCAGTCGCTCGCCCCACTCCTCATCTGACCCTGCTGCACCGCACATGTGCTCATGTGGAGCGCAGCTCCAGGTGCTGCACGGCTGCACCTCACAACACATCACCATCCGGCTGCAGCCGGCGCTCGCCTCAGTGAGTCCTTGGCTTGGCTCCTGTCCTCCTTGCATCTGCCACGCCACTGCAGACGCACACCGGCATGGTAAGGGGGAAGTGTGATGCGGAGGGGGAAAGGAAAATAGGGGGGGGGGGGGTTGTGGGGGGAGGGGGGGAAACGGGGGGGTCGGGAGGGAAAGACTGTGGGGAGCAACTGCGCAAGCGCTGGCGTTGTGCATGGGCGTCGCGTCGGTGTGGCTCTCTGATGGCCACCATAGATCCCCACCGTCCGTGTCGTCTTGGCGGATCTTACATCTGCGGGAGGCGGCAAGGCGCATTGCGCGTCGACGCGGAAGGCGCAGGGGCGTGGGGCGCGGGGAGGCGTCACGGAATGGTACGAGAGAGCCGTTGTGACTTGATGCAAGCGCGGAAAGTAGGAAGCGAGGAAGGCGAACTGCGGGCGAATGCGAGGCGAACAAATGAAGAGCGAGAGGAGGGGGAGGAGAAAATGGATAAGCGGGAAACGGGCGAGAGCATCATGTTGACGTGGATACACTCGATCGACTCACCATCGCCATCGCCATCGCCATCGCCAAGGCCAATGCGAACAACTAGAGCGATATGTATCGCTTCGGCTTGGAGGCCGCATCTCCTTTCGTATGCCCTTCGAAAAGCTACCAAGAAGCTCCAATCTCCCTCTATCTCTCGCCTTCCGCTCGTCTCACTCCTGCTCTCTTCTGGCGGAATGTAAGTGGTGCTACTACAGAAGCCGGACGATGATGCCATCTGACTCTTCTAGAATGTAAAAGAACAATACCGCTGGATCACCTTCGCTGCCTTTAGAAACGTCAGCCGCGTGTATATGTTACTGAGACTCTTCTAAGTAACATTGTAAGAACGAGTTTCTGCTGAGCTTAGAAGCTTGAAAAGAACTAGGTGCGCAGCCATTTAGGCTTGACTTGGAATGCGATCTCAATAGGGCGAAATCAAACAAATCAGGTCCCACCATGAAATTTTGGATATGTTTATATCGCGGAAACCTAGGTTCTCCCGAGTCCCCAACCTCCTAGCGTCCCGCCAAACCAAAATCGAAACACGGGAAACTTGTCTGACGAGGCGCGTTCAGTCTCGCAAATGTATGCCCGAAACCTTTTTTTTTAATGATTAATGAAAAATATACACCGACATAAACAAGTATGTATCACCATTAAGGTCGTAACCGTGCGTGAGGAACAGAGGGTGAGCTG